CAATATTTAAAATTTTATTAAAAAAATTTAAAATTTAAAAAAAGTTGCAGGCAAATTTGGCTGCAAAACAATTTAAGAGATAAAGCCTGATAAAAGTAAAGTGGAAAAGTCAAGAACTACCCTGTATCTAGTATGCTTCACCAGTTGAAAGAATTCATAGGCCTAATGTTATATTACAGAAATTTATTCCCACATTTGCCGCCATAGCGAGGCCTTTGCACTATTTACTACAGAAAGAAGTTAGTTTTAAATAGGAGCCAAAATAACAAAAAGTATTCAATACATTAAAGAATTATCTGATTATAGCACCCATCCTCAAGTACCCCAACTTTAACAATATATTCTACCTGTATACCAACGTATCTGAAATGGGATTAGGAACCATTTTAGCCTAGAAAGGAGCTGAGAGAAAGGAGTATATAATCTTATATGCTAGTCGAAGTCTATCTAAAGCCAAAAGGAATTATTCAGCATGTAAGTTAAAATGCTTAGCGGTTATTTGGGCAGTAGAATACTACTATTATTATTTTAGCTTTAAGCCATTCATCATTATAACTGACCATTCAGTACTCAAGTGGCTACATAGTACGAAGTTAAAAGGTAAAAGGGCCCATTGGATACTCCACCTACAACCGTACAATTACACGATCTAGCATAGGTCGATACATTATCTCAATTGAATGAAATGGAGAAGGAAGCCATGAAAGTATATATAGTAATAGAGGAAAGTGAAAAGGAGGAATTAAAAAGGAAAAAGAAGGAAAAACAAGCAAAGGAAAAGAAAACCAACTTGTCTACGCATGAAGTAGTGTTGAAACCAGGAATCTGATCATTTCCTGTACTAGTATACAAAAAGTTGGGAACTGCTTATCAGGGAAATTTAGAATATGTAGGCCCCAGTCGATCTTACGGCAATATCTACCAAGTGTATTATCACCCAACCAACCTTGAACACCTTGCACTAGAATTCTTCGATTAATAAAAAGCTATCTACTGAGTCAACTTTCAAGGGTTTAACCTAATAGTACACGAGCCAAGACAATTATTAACACTAAGAGAATAGATAATTTCTGGTGCAAAACAAGAGTTAATTAGAAGAGAATACTTATAAGACACAGGAATTAATCCAGGCATATGGAACCACTAAATGTCTTGGCCATCGAAGTCAAAAGAGCTGCCAACAAAAGGGGTGACTGAAAGCTGATTAACTTTGAATCGATAGAACCAGAAAGCAACAATTAGGCAAACCTATGTATATAGATATATATAAAAAAAAAAAATAAAAAAAAATAAAAAATATTCAAAAGGGGATCTAGAAGATCGAGATGAATTACCAAAAAGAGTGAAAGGGTTTCTAAAATCAATCTAAAGTCAAGGACAAAAAAAAGATAAAAAGGATACAAAAATACAAGAGAAAGAGAGTAAAAGTTTACAAATCAACAAAAATTATGCTTATATACAAACAAATGCCCAGAAATCTGATCACATTGAATGAGATCATGGCTGATATCATGAATCTACTCCCAATTGATATTAACCCAGCACACCTGCCCTTTTCAATGACCAACGACTACCTTGGAAATATATACCTAACAATAAATTACCTCCAGAAAAGCCTGAGGTTGAGACAACATATAAATTCGTTAGTATACACATACTACTTAGGGATGTTATATACTAACAAAACCTGCTAGCAACAAAGCCAGTTTAGAAATATGGTTAAAAGGCACTACTACACTACCGCTGTCCTTGCTTATGATATATTTTTGAAGTATAGAACTGAACAAATCTATTGAATGACCAAGTTGGAGCTCAACAACCTGCGCAAGCTAAAACTGCATGATCTTCAACAGCTTACAGAAGAAGATCATGTGTGGGATGCATGACCTAAGCAAGAGAGAAATGTGAGACCTAAAACCTGTGATCGATCACGTAAAAAATGCACAAAATACATGCAGTACAAATAATACCATTTATGATCGAAAACAGTAATTCAGATGTGAAAGGGTAAATAGAAAATAAAGGGAGGATGTAGTACAAATTAACTATCATTAAAAATATTAGAAAAATAATTGAAAACAGTTTTAAATAGTTTTATAGAATATTAAACGTAAAGTCACATTTGTAAGTGATAGAAATAATTAATATAAATAAAGGCCAAGATGGCCCACAAAGGGATGATGCTTTATCTTTGCTTTAGTATAAAAATAAGTCCACATCTTATACACTGTTCATAATATTATATTTACACTATACCCAGTATAAACCCTATAAACTCTATAAAAATCGTTGTTCGTTTAAGTTCTTGATCACGTGATTTAACTGACCCTCTTTTGTTGACCAAGTAACCGAAGCCTTAATCACCTATTAGCCAAATCTAACACACCTTTTTCATAAGTTACTTACTGCAGGTTACATGAGTTTTTGGATTGTAGAGTGACCGAGTCACAGTTTTCTGAATCTAACAATATTAAATGCAGGCTAAGTTTTCAAATTTAACAAATACATTCATATATTTAATAATGTAATTAAGAATTTTTGCATTCTCCATATAGAATGCAACTGCATTTTCTTGAGTATAATGAATTTCTTTTTTTGCAAAAGCATTATTTGGTGCCACAATTTGTTTTTTGGCAATAGCAGAAATCTTGTTGAGTGTCTTTGCTTGAACCAATATTATTATTAGATACGTGTTATTTCACTAACAATCACTTCACAAACAGCATAGTTTACCAACAATTAATTCACCAGCAAGTTCATTTCACTGATAATTAGCTTACTGACAAGTTCATTTCACTAACAGCTTATTCACTAACAAGTATTTTTTATAAATTACACTAACCATAACTCTAATTCTAACCTGACACTAACAACAATGACCAGAATTACTTTGTCAGTGAAATAAGCTGTCAGTGAAATTATTGTTAGTCAAATGAACTTGCTAGTAAGTTAATTGTTGGTAAAATAAACTTGTCAGTGAATTAATTGTCAGTGAACTAAGCTGTCAGTGAAGTGATTGTTGGCAAAATATGCACCACCCTTATTATTTGTAACACTAATATATGTAATTAATATTTTTTAATTATTTTTTTATTTATTTTTTTTATTTTTTTCTTGACTACTTACTAAATAAATGTATTTGGTGAGTGCTTATTAATATTATGAGCTTGGCCATCTTGAAAATTATTAAATAGATAATTACAAGTTAATTTTTTATTATTATGAATTGTATGAGTAAGATTTTGTCTAGCACCTGCTTCTTTTAAGGAAAGTATATTATTTAGTAGTATAATATTAAGATTAGAGTACTTAGTAGTTCGAGCTCATTTGTTAAGTACCAATTGTCAAGAATTCTAAATTTGTAGTTGATTTGGTAAGAATCACAGTTGAGTTTTTTTGAATAGCAAAGATCTTTGATCCATTTTTAATCTGGCAATATTGGGAATTTAAATTTTTACTAAATCACCAGGTTTATGTGCATGATTTCATTTTACATTATATTTTGCTTCTATTTTATTCTTAATAAATTCACTTTCTTTTAATATTTAAAATAGCAGCCTGGTGAATAATTTCATGTTTTGGATATATAGACTGAATTGAATTTGTAATATTAAGTAATGATATTCTAGTCTAATAATTAATAAAAAAATAAAATAAAATAAAATAAATTAATTTAACAATAAATATGTAAATAAATAAATAAATAAAATAATTACATTATTGTCTATATTTGCTATTTTTTGAGATATAGAGAGTTTAGCAGAAGTAGCTCACCATTTTTCATTTTAAATAGTAGTATATTAATTTTATTTTCAACTGTCTCTGAATTACTAATATTTATAATTTCTTTAATATTAGTAGTATAATCTAATACAATTGTCAATTCAAAGCTATTTTTAGAACTATTGGAGTTTAACTTTTCTAACTCAAAATTAGAATCTTCCAATTTAGAACCTTCTACTTCAAAGTTACCAACTTTAAAATTTTCTATACCTTTTAATTCTAGATCTTTAAATATAAGATCTCTTATACCTTCTAATTTAAGATTGTCAAATTTAGAACTTTCTATACTTTCTGATTCAGAATTACCAAATTTAAATTCTTTTATGCTTTTTGATTCAGGACTATCTAATTCAAAGTTTTTCAATTTAGAATTATTGAATCCAAAGTTATCTAACTTATAATTATCCAATTTAATATCTTCTACTACAGTACCTTTTAAAGTAAAATCTTCTAATTCATTAGTATTTGAATTATAATATTTATTATCATAACTATTATTATATTTCATTATTAGAATATTACTTGTATTTGTATTACTGTGAGAAAGTTGGCTGAATACTATATTTATATAATATAGTATGATAATATGAGATAACATCACGTTGGTATAGTGATAATTTTTTTTATCAGAGAATGCCGCAAAGTGGCATTTTCTGAATAATCAAAAAAATTATCACGTACCAATGTGATATATCTCAGAATTATCATGCTATATTGGTATTATAGTATGGCAGTCATTGATCATAAATTTATACTATTTATATTTTTTTAAAAACCTCTTTAATTCGTATAGTGCAATATAATATAAGTATGGATGATGTATACATTGTGTAAAATAACAAGCATGAATTACGAAATAAAAAGAAAGTGATTTATAACATAAATGGTGTAATACTCATGATTAATAGTGGCCATGCTATAATGTAGAGTGTTGATTTATAAGAAGAACAAAACTGATTATTTATTGTCTCTGTATAAATAATTAATTTTTTTTTAAAAAAAAATAAGTTAAATAAATAAATAAATAAATATTTAAATAAATACTTATATATAATATATTTTAAGCCAATATTTTAGTTACTTCTTTCTGTTTTTTCTATTCAAGCTCCTAGCTTTACTTGAAAAATATTGTTACCTTTCTCTACAAGACTCTGACATTGAGGATTTTGAGAATGATCATATATTATTTTTATTGTAAGCCAAAAACTTAATATTTCTTTAAAAATATTATCAGTAAACCTCTATTATTAGTATGTAAAATTGCAAGAGAACTATAAATAAAATAAAAATTAAGAATTGTTGTAACAGCTTCTTCATCTGATTTAGACTAAGCTAACTCAGTATAAAAAAATTGACTAAAATAATCTCTTAAATAGAAAATATACTTATATCCTCTATTAGTATAGCTATTATATTAATTGTATTAAACTAATAAAATTTTGAATTTTGTTAAACTATATCAATTTATTAATTAAAATTAATATATATGATATACTTACTTGAATATAGTTTAGAAAACCTTCAGAATATATTAGCAGAACTTTTTAAAAATATATCTGGTAATACACACTTTATATTTATAAATTACATCCTTAACCAACTGTTGGAGAATATAATAATATCTAATCTGAATCTTACTAATAAAAAAATTACTATAGTATTACTTAAAAAAAAAAAAAGTATAAATCTATCTTCTTTTAGGTTTTTTCTTGCCCACTATATTTAGTTGCTTGGTAGATAGCACAAATTACTTTATAAAAATTTTTAATATAACAAACATGTATTCTCAAGTTATTCTTATCCTGTTTTATTATATGTAATTCCTTTGTTTTTTCAATACAAAAAATTTTAAAGTAGTAACTACTCAATGTTTAAACTTTGGATTACATTGAAGATTTAAATTTTTAAGTATATTTAGATATTCATTATAATAACTTCTATCCATCAAGCTTCACTTGTTTTTTCTTTTGCTAACAAAAATCTCAAATATTTGGTTAAAGGTTTTAAGAGTAATAAAGGTATATCTTTGCAAATCTATAAGTGTTGAAGAAAATATGTAATACTTACTTAGCAAAAATCTAAATTCCTTAAGACATAGCTACAACATAGTAACTATATAGTAATTATATTATTAAATTTAATAGCAACTATATAGTTACTATATCATAGCTATGTATTAAGCAATTTCAAGTTTCTGTAAGGTAAAAATAAAGATCAATTCAATATCATAAATAAATAAAATGAAACAAGTAATAATAAAGAATTATTTTTATCAAAATTAATGAAAATATTAATACAAATATTAATTTAATTATTAATAATAATAATTATTATTGTTATTGATAAAATATATAATTATTATTATTATTATTAATAAATTATATAAAATACAATTATCAGTAGTTTATTAAATTGCTGTCTCATAATTTAAATTACTAATTAATCTAGGTTATTTCATGATTAGTGAAAATTAAAAATAATATATATCAATTTTGAATTAATATGAATTCTGAAATAATGTGAAGTATATATAGGGTTGCTATAGAGTCAGATCTCTATCTAAATTTTCTTATTTATAATCTTGATTGGATTTTTTTAATTTTATTAAGAAATTTTTGTATAATAAAAAGGCAATTTCTATTTGTATACTTATATATAAACTATGAATATATTAATAACTCCAAAACCTAAAATTATAATTCAAAACTTAAAATTATAATATATAATCTTTAAAAGTTTCAATAAACTTATATTTATTTTAATTTTTTTTTTTGGTATTAAGATAATCCCTTCAGTCTGGTGACATTTTTATTAGAGTATGTTTTAGTTACAATAAGAGTATATCAAGCTACACATCACTTTTAATATCTAATTTAAGTAGTTTGCTTTATATTTTGATATTACTTACAAATTTGTGAATACAAATTGCTAAACTGCAACTAATCAAATTGTATAAAAAATATATTTATATAAATAGCTATAATTTTATTAGTATTAGACAATAAAAATTTTTAGAATAAACTTAAATTACTTTTAAATTAATTAGAACAACTTGCAATAGGAGTTTCACTTTTTGAAAGTAATATACTAAAATTATCAGAATTTTATAAATAGTATAATAAATTATTAGCATTAGAATGTAAATAATTTATTAATTAAATATTTTGCAAAATTTTAAAATTTTTTAATATACAATAAATATATAATAACTATATTGTTACAATTAAACTTAATAATTATTATATAGTTATTATATATTAAAAAATTTAAATTTCTACTAATTATTATATTTTAAAATTATTATTATAATTAGATTTTATTTAAAATTAATTTTAAATTTTAAATTATTTAATTTTTAGGTATTCAACAATTTTCTAATGAAGTTTGCAATAATATTTTAGATATTTTATCATAAAGATAGACTAAAATATATTATTAAGTTATAGAGATTATATAATTATTAGATTCTAAATTTGTTGGTTGTAATATTGAAGAGGATAAAATATTAATTATTTCTAATTTTTTAGAACAATATTATTTAGATAATGCAGAAGAAATTTATATACAAAAGGACTTTAAAAACTCTTTCCGTCAATCACTCGTACAAAAATTTTTGCAAAAAACCTAACTTAACAAAATCTCATTTTTGAAATAATTTATTAAGACAACCTAATTTCTAGTCCTAATAAAACTTTTCTACGTACAAAACTATATATAATATTTAAATTTTAAAGAGATAGCTCTTAAACTCTTTAAATAATGACTTTTCAGGCCAAAGAAGCTTCTTTTGCCGTTTACGCAAATTCCAGATTCTAAACATTATTCTAAAGCATAATACAAGTTATTCTACATATTTTCCTCTTCAAAACAAGCTATAATAAATCTCTGTAGCTTCAATATTGACTGAGTTACAAGCAAAATAATTTTTAACTCTGCTTACTTTTTCTTTTCTCTTTTACTTTGGGAATTTTTCTTTTTTCAAACAACTAGAGATGTTTTCCGTATAACCAAGGCCACCCAGCCGTGCTACCCACATTTACAATACCTTAAATCTAGTGGTGCTACACTAAAATTGCCTCATTTTAATTAATATTGCACAATTTTAATATTTGCCTTTTTTGTAACTTCTATTCACACAATAAGATTCCCTTTTAGTTTCATGTAATACATGATATCACGTGACTTTGTGTAACACAAAGCTTCGAAATCCAATCTATATGTCACGTGACCTTGTGTAACCTAAATTAAAGATCCCAATTTTACATACCCCTAAATAGTTTGCTTTAATACAACCCTTGTTTTATTTTTATACTCTATTTTCAACTTAGAAAAATTTTACAAAAAACTAATTTTCATTACAAATTCTAAGTTAAATTAACTAATTTTTATTCCTTTTTGATTCTTTAAAATGCCTACTCTAACCGAGCAAGAACCGAATACTATCGATCTTGATTACTTTTGTGCTTATTTTCCTACAAGCTTTGGTATCACCTTTCTTGAAGATGAACCAACTGACAATATTAAACCAATTTCATCAAGCCAAGAACCCTCTAACTGCCATATTAAAACCACACATTCCAAGATAGCTGCACACTTCTTTCGTGTACCAAAATCAACATTAATTACTACATGCTTATGCAGCAAATACCATACTCAATTTATTGCTAAAAACAACTCTATTTACCAACCTGCCACTACATTTTTCCGAGTAGCTACTGGTAAAAAGCCATCCCAAAAAGATACAGAAGTTATCCAACAAATCTCAGAAACTCAGAAAACATTCCACCTTTCCCTACATGTCAACTTTGTCAGCATACTTGTCCCAAATGCACCAAAACCATTACTTGCTATTTTTATAGCAACAAATATTATCCCAACAAGCCCTTTACCCTTATAAACCAAGAAGTTTATCACACCAACTGCACTACTACCTCAACTTCCTTAATTGTATCTACAAGCACTTCTACTATCTCAACTGCTATTTCTTCACTTGATGAAGCCAGAAAAGACTTAACGCCTATCTTTCAATCTATGCAAAACACTACTTCTACTAAAAATCTTTCTGCCTCCTCTACCCCATCTGATAATTCAACCTCTTTTTTTGACAATAATCTATTCCCGACACTCCCTTCTAAACCATCTTCTAATATTAATACAAGCAAATCTTTCCAGACTTCCCAACATCAAACTACTACTAAATCTACTTATTCAAGTAAAGCTAAAGCCAAAAATAACTCTCTCAACCTCTCTTTAACACCACTTACTTCAACCAATAATACTGAACTACTTACCTTTACCTCCATGGATCTCAACACTTTTGCTACTGACTTCTCTAATACTATCTCTCAATCTGATGCTGCTAACTCTATTAATACTATTCCTAACCCAGACCAACTATCTCC